ATTGGGTAGGGCCGGGTCAGAGGGCAGGATTTCTTAATCCAGCACCCTCGTTAATCCAGCAGAAAACGCCGTAGCAAAAGGTGCCGGATTAGAGAGGGACGACTGTACATGGTTATGAGTGCACATTTGATATTTTTCATTGCTATTGTAAAAGAAGTGATGAGCAATAGGTGAGCAAAGAAAGAGAAAAAGACATAGTCTAGGGCAGAGCTCTGCGCTTGAGCATATGATTGTAAGCGTATAATGGTGGAGGTGACTCAACATGTTCTTCAATGTCCGAGAGCTCTGTCGCACCCTGGGAATAAGAAGTAGAACACAAAATAATAATCTACGAAGTAAAAGTGGGGAGTAGAGACCGGCGGATTCAGCTCCAAACGGTTGCAGATTCTGCTCGAAAAGCAGTGAAATTGGCAGAACCATACAAACCTTATGGCGGGCAATTCCTCGAATTCTGCTCCATTTTTTATCCACATACTAAACATGCATGAAGCTTACCAGAAAAAGTACCGAATTCTGCCAATTTTTCTGCCGGCAGAATCCGCCGGACCATAGGGGGGAGGCTTCCTGCAGTTTCATAAACTAGGCCTTGACAGATTATGCTAGCATAATTTTTCGCATAATTCCTACCAAAATCGAATGATCGCACAATTCGAAGCAAATTGCATACGAATCGCATAAAATTGGAATAATCCGCCTGTTCCCATCAAATTCCATTCAGTTGTACCAAGAGTACGGTTTATGAATTATGTACTCTTGGTTGTACCATGAGTACATGTACTCTTGGTTGTACTAGTACAAGTACAAGTAGATGCACCAGGAAGTCGTAGGTTTACGACTCCCTTGAGAACATGTCCAGTCCACTACAATCAGTGACCAGGGTGACGGTCGTAGCTAGGTCGGACAGTGCGTTGACCTGTTGCTACTACAGTACAACGCCCTCTACAAAACAATTCACCTGTTATTTTGCACAGAACCATCATATACATGTATTATTATTATTATTATTTTTTCTTATTTTGTTAGGGATTTCCCAACAGGCAATGTTGCCTTTTTACTGGGAACCCTAAATGAGACTTTGTGTGAGCGCGAAACAAAGCAGGCGACTCGGCCAGGCGACAAGATGGAGGCAGCGCATTCCACCTGTCGGCACCAAGATACGCAATGGAATGGAAACCATACCGGGAGTGGCAGGCAGGCAAGACAAGAGCAGCTGTAGCTTGGCCCCGAGTTGTGGCAGCAGAATGTGGGCCAGTGCAGCGGGGAGTGAATAGGAGGCTGAGAAGTGGGCTAGATAAACCATGCAGACAGCGAAAGACAAAGACGTATTGCTTGAAATTTAAGCGTTGCTCTAGTGTGTAGATCTTGGTGTAAGCGTACAGGGTCTCAGTGGGAGTTCTGCGGTCAAGGGCAAATATTCTTTTAAGACTAGTACGGCTGGCTGTGATCAGCTGGTTGTATGAACGGTGAGATAGACAGTTAATGTAGGCAGAGCTAATGTACAATCATTAGCAGCATATTTGAGCACAATGCGGCATAATATGATAACTTTTAGCATAAAAATAGCATAATTCTGCAATTTTTTCGGCAATGCGAAAAGCATAATTTCACGAAAATATTAGCATAATGTGTCAAGGCCTATCATAAACAGTTAAGAGTAGAGCCCACACGCTCTCTTCCATTAACACCGCAATAGTTCAACTCATTGCACAGTAATTATTACAACGTTTCGGCAAATTGCCTTCGTCAGGTTCACAATGATGTGCAAGCTCCCAAACCAGCATTGATAAAGGCCAACTCCCCTGTCAGTAAGAGCTGGGTGTGAGAAGCAGCGCGATAAGAATTCAGCTAATAGCGCTAATATACACTATCAGTGGATGGGACTAAGGCTGAGGTAAACACAAAAAAAACACACACACATTATTTAACTTCTAAGTTTGACATTATTCAGCGCCGAATCAAGTGTCATGATAATCACACTATAAGCGAGTGGCAATACAAATTACAGCAATGACCACCCAGCGTTAATGTTTATCTTCGGAGCCAAATTTCTGATCTCCACAGCCTCCCTCAATTTCCTGCTAGCCCTGTCGCCTTCCCGAGCGAGGACTGATACTGCTGTGAAGGCGCTATCTCGTAGTCTCAATCTCCTGCGCGAATGCTTGTTTATCATGGCCGCGCAGACCATCTGGTAAAAGGAGAGCGATCGCTCTCGCGCGCCTTCGCTCTCCTTATTTTCTTTTAGGGCGTACTTTTCGTCGCACGCCTTGAGAATTTCGAGCGCATCCGCATCACTATGAAGTTCTGAAAACACTCAAATATTTCGTAATTCGGCTTTCCCTGAACGGAATCGAGTAATCGAAAAGTCTATTCGCATTATAAAGTTCTCAGCTGTCGGCTTCAACAAATCGGAAGTCGATCCGAGCTCCAATAGTGGAATTACGGCACTCGCAAGGTATTTTACGTACCGTTGCCAATTTTCACTTCCGCACATAATTATAATTTTGACACGCAAGAGGTACACAAAAGGAAGTATATAGCGCTGTTCTTTTGTTGTAACTCAGAGTTTCATGGCAAAAACCAATCATCAGACAACAGCGCACACCTCTGTATAATTTTGACATAAAGGATTTCCCTCTGTTGCGTGACAGTCCGGGCATGCATAGACCTGTGTACGTGTGACGCCAGGCAGTCAGGCACAGACGGGTCTTTAGCCGGCAGCTACAGAAGAAAGGAGCGCTCTACGATGAATACTACAAAAATACCATGGATCTTAGTAATCTTCACTAGTTTGAGGGAAAGAGACAAACGGGAAAAGTCTGAAGAAAAATTTGACCTTATTGAATTTGATCTTAGTAATATAGCGAATTGTCTCAATTTCCCATTGCGTGTGTCATTGTCCCTGATGAAGGGAAACTAAAGTTGTGGTCCGAACAGCTTTCATTTGTAGTGCGTACGGCGATTTTCCAGAACGAATTTGGCAGCTATTGGGTATTGAATCCGAATGGAGTATGGCAAGATGTTGAAAAAAACCGTATTGTGCTCGCCTTGGATAGATAATGCGAGCGACTTTTTTTGGGGGGGGGGGGGAGGGTGGTGGGGGCTGCTCTCCCACCACTCTCCTTGAGAGGATAGCGAGAGTGATTGTTCACTCTCCTGGATTTTTCTTACACGAAGGTCACCCCAAGGCTTGTCACGAGTCCCTCGACGTGCTTCTCCATTGTGTTCCTTTAGACGGGTCTCTAGTGATCGTCCTGTCTCTTCAACGTAATATTCCGTGCACCAATTGCAATCTATTCTGTATACTACATTATTTTTCATGCAAACCTTCTCCCCACCGTATTGACAAGTAAGACCCGGCCCAAGCGGGCTGCCTCGTCTCCTACGTTGCATAATATTCGGTGCCTTGACACATTGGGTTGGAGACTGTGCTGAACGACAAAATTGATTGCGGAGACTGACGGAGTGCTCATAAACTACTCTTACCGGCAGTTTGTACTTCCAAACGGACCTGTTTACCCTATGGTGTTTGTGGTCGTGATCAAACGGCGTAGACTGTCTATGTACACGCCACGGGTTCTTTGAGCGGCTAGCAGCTATGCTGCAAACTTCTGCAGGATTGTGGAGTGTAATAGAAAGTGATGAGTCACACAGATAAGGGGCTAGAGTAGAGCCATGGCTTTTGAACAGCCAGGATGTAATCCAATGGTCCGAAGCGTCTATCATTTTTAGCGGACTCGGGTGGAGAGCCAAGGATTCATTTATCAGAATGAAAGAGAGCCAAAGAGCTAAAAGTTACGCTTTTGGGTCCCCAAGAAAAATAAAAAAATGTCCTACATGTAGCTGCCTATGTTAGTAGAATCAAGGTTCCTTTAATAGGAAGATGGCCAGTTGACGCGAAAAAAACTTGCTTTCACTAGAGCGGGAGTGTTTCTGATCCGCACCCTACACAACATAGGAGTGATGTACGATCATGGGGACGTGTGTGCATGAGAGTGCGTATCACTGTATCACTGTATGTGTGTGTGTGTGTACGTGCGTGTGTGTGTGTGTGTGCGTGTGTGTGTATGTGTGTGTGTGTATGTGCGTGTGTGTGTGTGTGTGTGCGTGTGTGTGTGTGTGTGTGTGTGTGTGTGTTTGAGAGAGAGAGAGAGAACAAACCACCCATGCACGATGTAGACACAGAGACTGTGTGCCAGAGAAATAGGTAACATGCCAATGAGGTCAGAATTGAATCAATAATGAAGATGTGTCATTTATAAGATCCCCATTGCACCAGCAATCCGAAAGGATCCTATAGCATGTCATGGGAGTCGTAACGTTGAAGACATACATTTTTCTAGCAAGTTTCAACAAGCAACTCTGGTTAACGATCATTGACAGATGCACGACCCCCCCCCCCCCCCATATGATTTGTTTATGCGGCAAGCGCGACCTGTTCACATTATTATTTCTAGGCAACAACTTCATTCAATCAGGCAATGCGACCCAGTCGCACTGTTTCACTCCAGGACAGACACAAACGGATCACGACTAAGCGTGCTCATGCACAGCTAACACACACACACACACACCAGTTCGGTGAGCTAGAGAATGAAGTAATTTTAAAATTCCAGAACGAAAACTGAGAAATACCAGTCGTATTCTATAGTGCTAATAATGGCGGCGTGGAATGCAGTGACGGTCATCTATATTATAGGTTTACAGTATGGCACACTGTAAGGAGAAAAGCAATGAGCGTTGCAGGACCGATCGAGAAATTATAGAATCTTGTGATAACTATGATCGGATGGAGTAACTGAATGCAATCATCATGGTCTGTTCAGCTCTGTTTGTGTGGATGTACAGTGCTACTCGATGCAATCCAGTCGCGTCACTCAACGGAAAATGATGCAAGGCGCAGCCTGTCCTGAGTGAGGCGACCGGGTTTTACTGAGCAGAACTGTAGGTTCAAGACCCACGACATTTTGTGGAGATGTACATCCAACGTCCTGTGGTGGTATTTACCGCTTCTCTTCATCCTCCTCGTCGTCGTCCTGCTCATCATCATCCTCATTGCTCTGCTCTCCCTCGCCAAGGTTCAGCTCTCTCAGCGCATCCTCGATCTCGTCGTCGTTGAACTCCTCTCGGCTGTTACTCAGTTCGGCGTCGTCATCCTCACTCGTCTCCTCATCGCCTTCATCCTCATCGCTGTCCTGCTCGAGAGCAGCATCCAGCGCCTGCTCATCCTCGTCATCGTCACTGTCCTCATCACTGTCGTCTTCAGTAGTCTCGGCAGCTGCTGCCTCCTCGGCCTGTGCGTCGGCGCTGACCTCCTCCGCATACTGTTTGGTGTTCTCGAGGAATGCCTTTGCCACGGCATCGTCTTCTTCCTTCTGCTCGTCTTCCGATAGGCCAGCTTTGTCGGCGTCCTCGAAGTCGAAGTTGTTTGCCTGCGCGAACATCGCGTCAAAGTCGTTTTCGCTGATCTCGTCAGTATCCACAGCTTCCTCCTCAGCTACCACAATTGCAGCGAACATCGCCAGGGAGGCGAGCAGGTACAGTTGGATCTTCATGGTTGGTTTTGAATGGCTCGTGACTAGAGAACAACGAAAGGACACGAACGATGAAGCTCACTGCTCACAAACACAACTTCAGTCTGTAGACCAGGATTTCAGCCAGTGTGGTCACTGGGCTTAGCGGGGCGAGGCCAGCGGATCATAGTGCACTCCCTTTGCAGCAGCGGCCCAAGCTAGCGGACACTGCTGCGGAAAACGGAGCGCCGCCAGACCGAGCGCATGCGCACTAGCTGGGCGTTTCGCGCCCTCCTCGTTGGATGCACGGTGTGTGTACATGTGCTTGTACACAGATTATCAACGGCTCATCGAGCTAGCACACCCGTGTGTGTGCGCTAGCTCGATGAGGATGCTGCACCGAGAGCTGGGCTAGGTTCAACAGAGCGTAGTCGCAAATCACGGATATGTTCCAAGTCAGCACGCCATATACCCGTATCTGATAGCCATGCCACGAGCGAGTGAGACTGCCATAGAGGGCTTGACGTGTTGGCAGTTCCAACGAATGACACAGTGACAGGTCGTGCTGCAAACAAATCGCGGACAGCTCCACAAATCACGTGCCCATCCGCATTGCTAGGTCATCACTTGGACATGCCCAGCGCAGTGACGTGAGCTGAGTTTGGGTATGGTAACTGCTAGCAATCGGGACAGCCTGGTAAAGTAACAGATCCTTGAACGCCTAGCCGTTGTATTGCAGTAGCCCCCACCCTATAGTATAGGCCTATGACTATAAGCAATGGGTTTGTGACGGCTGTTCACGACGAATAGCAGATTGCAGGCGACCTCCATCTAGTCCATCCGTCTAGAGAACCGGTATTCACGGTGCGGGCATCGATTTCCTTCAGACACCCGGACCATCTACTAGCTACCTAAGGTATCCAGTGGGTATGTGTGTTGTCCTCCTAGCTGCTGCGGCCTGGTCGCCCGGTCGGGTGACAGTTCAGATGTAATTGATCAATGGAAGCAACCTTCTGTGTTCTTCTTACTACTAAATACTATGATTGTACTCTTTCCGTGATGGTCTCAACAACTTTTGCTTCCATACATGGACATCCAGAATCTCACAGCAGAATGATATTCATTCATTACTGCCAAACATGCCTGTATCACTACATCATCAAATATGTACTTTGCCTATTAAATCGATTGACGCAAGAATCAGGGTGCCGGCGCGTTACTACGTAGATCAGCACTCAATCTGCGGACAGAACTGTTTCGTCCTTTGTGGACTGACTCATCAGCGCAGCACAGAGAAAATGAGACCGAACCTGATAGCTATGAAAAATAAATTTTCCAAAGCCAGATTAGAACCAGGCCCGAACGTACCTTGCCAGAGTGCTCAAACTGATTATATAGATCAGCAGCATGCTATTGCCTACATTCGGGTGACTCTACACGTTCATGACTGTCTTTGCTACTGTTTAATAGTGCCCTACTACTTGTGCACTGATCCATAACCATGATAATCAGCAAATGGACCCCGGCGCGGCACCAGGAGTCCTTGGATGCATGCAATCACAATCCTGCATCGTGCATCGTGCACGTTTCTATTGGGAGTACGAGTCCGTACCGCAATGTCATATAGATCTCACTGCAGACTAGCCCTATAATATGAGCTGACACGACACAGGCTCATTTTGTTCATCGTGCTGCGTTCTGTTGTATCATGTGTACTTGCTGGTCGTTTGCCCAATTAGTTCACAGTTAGTCCATGATTTACTCAAAGCGCCACAGTGAATAATAGCAAGAATGTACAAGAGAAGAGTTAGAGAGAAAAAGGGAAACTAAGGAGGAGTCCAGGTGGAAAAGCAAAGATAAGAACATTGAAAGGATCGGTCACGCGATACGGTGAATTCCAAGCGTGGATAGGAGACATCCCTACGCAAGAAGTAGGTAGTCCACAGTGCTTTACCATGAAGATGGCTCGTACTCTAGACTGATATTCAAGAGCTTTGGCAGACTGACACCAACCCTGCACTACAGCGCCGATCGTTGTTGGGTTGAGAGTCCAAGTAGTGTTAAACCCGTGCGGTGGGTGCAGCATAAGGTACAGAAAGATCCATGGAAATACAATTGGCATCATAGATGACTCAGGGTCGCAGACCCGTATGCGTTCGAAATCTTCCCTAGTGGTCTGGACTTGGTATGTCTGGTATTATCTGAAAGCTGTTTTGCATTGTTTTGCCAATAAACCTGAACTACGTGTACCTGGCTTCTAGGCATTCCATGAACTAGTTGTGCAAAGATTCAAATCGATATAACGATATAGCGATATTCGCGCTCGCTGGGTCAGTGTACGCACTAACTCAACAGTAACTGTCTACCACCAGTGTATAATGTGGTAGTGGACAAGTGCCATGCCAGTGCACAGCGCGGTTTGGACCCCGTACACACAGTAACACAGTGCACGCAGCACTCACAGCGCTGTTACTCGCGTTCTGGCACCTCACACACGTGCATCTACATAGTTCAGTAGTATTGTTATATCGTTAGTGACAGATAACGATAATCGATAATTTCCTTAGCGATTAGCAAACGGTTAATCGATCATATCGTTTCAGCCCTAAATACAAGTCATGGCGATACTACCGACGTGGCACGTAAAAATAATAACCAGTCTCCAGTGAAGTGTACCTATCCGACTGACATAATGGATATCGATCAGACACTTATGAAAGACGATAAAGAGAAGGAGAGGCAACAATAAAAGAGAGTGCGGCAACAGAAATGCAATCATAGTAGCAGTGCTAGTTACGAGTGCCTTCCGTGAGCAGTGTGCAATTGTTCCTGCTGAGCCTGCGGCCCTGCTCGCAGAATGGCCGACATCTGCTTCACAACCGGACCAAACTCCTGAAGGTTAGCCAGGTTTTGGTTCTCCCAGGCGGCAAAGCTGGTGCCGTCGTCTCCGCGATGGTCGTAGAGCTCGGCACCAAAGTTGCGATCCCAGTCGTGTGTCATGGTGGTGTTGTGGAAGTATACCCATTCTGTGTAGCGCCAGTCTGCAGTACGTACGGAATAACCCATGCTGTGGTCGTGTGGATGATCACGCTTTGTGCCCTTCGGTAGACCACGCGGGTACTGGGAAAACGCTGCCGTCTTCCATTGTGCGGTGCTGTTCTTCAACAGTGGGACCAGGGAAAATCCCTCCAAACCCTTTGGCACTTCAAAGCCGGCCAGGTCTACCAATGTTGGATAGATGTCGACGTGTTCGACGAGCGATTCAACAACCGTACCATGCGACTCTGGGATGAGTGGAGTGCGTACAATCAGCGGTGCTCTGGCGGCTATTTCAAAGTTCGTGTGCTTACACCACTCGCCTAGCTCACCTAGCTGCCAGCCATGATCGCCCCACAGCAGTACGGTGGTGTTTGCACTCAGTCCCAGCGTGTCCAACGCTTGCAGCACCTTGCCAATCTGTGCGTCTGTGTAGGACGTGGCCGCGTAGTACGCACGGCGCAGCTCCTTGGCATAGTCGTCCGGCATGTCTTTGGAAATGTTCGTAGGCAGGTGCATGGCTGCCACGTTTGCGTACGCCCGTAGCTCTCCCCAGTTCGACCAGGCTATCTCGGGCATGTCCTTGGGTGGGTAGGGGTCAGCTGCTATTGTGATATTCTCCTCTGGGTAGTAGTCAAGATACTTCTTTGGGAAGATGAATGGCAGATGAGGCTTGTGGAAACCGACGGCAACAAAGAAGGGTTCATCGGCCAGTCTCTTCAGCGTGGCAATGCCCGCAGCAGCTATTTCAGCATCTGGAAACATTTCCTCAGGAAAATCTGGTGTCTTCCAGGCTATAGATTTCCCGGAGAAGTTCCCATTGGGATGTGCATGGAAGTAAGGTTCAGTCCAGCTGGGTGGGTCGTCTCCAGTAGGGAAAACCCCTGCTCCCGAGGCATGACCTGGGTGGTAAATCTTGCCATGTCCTGCAGTCTTGTATCCTTGTTGTTTGAAGAATTGTGGCAGCGTGGTGACATTACAGCCAGCACTTCGGAAGTACGTCCATAGATCATAGATATGTGTGGTGTCTGGTCTTCGGCCAGTCAACAGCGATGTACGAGATGGACTGCACACTGCCTGCTGGACGTAGTTACGACGAAACATCGTACCTTCTTTGATCAGCTTGTCCATGTTGGGTGTGTGCATGCGAGGAAATCCATAGCCAGCTATCTCCGGACGCAGATCATCGATCGCTATCATCAGGATATTGTGCTTGGCTACACTGGACCTAAGTACACATGCTACAACGCCTGCTAGCAGCAAATGAGAAGGCAACCACGCCATGGCTCGAACACTCGCACGGTTCCCGCAAGAACGCCTCAAGTCTGTTCGCTCTGCGAGTCCGTTCACCTCAAAATTAATGCGCTGTGAAAAAGACCACCGTCGAGTGTGCTCTTTTCAAAGAAAATAATATTTTTATGGTAGAGTTACATGAATCTATGGCTTTGAATGATCAATCCTAGATCCAGCACTATAGATGATCCGGACCGTAGTCGGTAAACTGACAACTGACAGTACGAGTCTTCAAAAAATTGCCTTGAATTGTTGAAAGAAAGGTTGACAGTCGCTCACACGTAGATCTACACGCTCAGGAGGATGCAGTGATCTTTCTTGTCATTGTGGCTTGTGTTGAGCAGCAGCAACGCGAGCGATTTCTTTCAAAGGTGATTGGACTTTCGGACCACTGCCCACTGCAATAATCGAAGTACTTGAAGCACAGCTGAATAGATAGTTGCAAGCATTAGCGGCTCTCCCTTCTAAGAGGCTGACTCAGGGAATACCGACATCTGAGAAGTATTTTGCCCCACCTTATTCTGAAAATGAGCAATTTGCTGCATCGCTGGACGCTATTGGTCGGGATACTAGCAGCCTCCCTAGGAGTCTGCGTAGCGAAGCACAATATCCTGATGATAGCGATCGATGATCTGCGTCCGGAGATAGCTGGCTATGGATTTCCTCGCATGCACACACCCAACATGGACAAGCTGATCAAAGAAGGCACGATGTTTCGTCGTAACTACGTCCAGCAGGCAGTGTGCAGTCCATCTCGTACATCGCTGTTGACTGGCCGAAGACCAGACACCACACATATCTATGATCTATGGACGTACTTCCGCAGTGCCGGCTGTAATGTCACCACCCTGCCACAGTTCTTCAAACAACAAGGCTACAAGACTGCAGGACATGGCAAGATTTACCACCCAGGTCATGCCTCGGGAGCAGGGGTTTTTCCTACTGGAGACGACCCACCCAGCTGGACGGAGCCATACTTCCATTCGCCGAACAAGAAAAACTTCTCCACTGATGCCAAAGCGTGGGCAACACCTGACGCTCCGGAGGAAGATTTTCCCGACACTCAGATCGCCGCGGCTGGAATTGCTACAATGAAACGGCTAGCCGATAAGCCGTTCTTCATCGCCGTCGGTTTCCACAAGCCTCATCTGCCATTCATCTTCCCAAAGAATTATCTTGACTACTACCCAGAAGAGAATATCACAATAGCAGCTGACCCCTTCCCACCCAAGGACATGCCTCCGATTGCTTGGTCTGATTGGGGAGAGCTCCGTAACTACCACGATGTGGCCGCCATGGACTTGCCTACGAACATTTCCAAAGACATGCCGGACGACTATGCCAAGGAGCTGCGCCGCGCATACTATGCCGCCACATCCTACACAGACGCACAGATTGGCAAGGTGCTACAATCGCTGGACACGCTAGGACTGAGTGCAAACACCACCGTACTGCTGTGGGGTGATCATGGCTGGCAGCTAGGTGAGCTAGGCGAGTGGTGTAAGCACACAAACTTTGAAATAGCCGCCAGGGCACCGCTGATTGTACGCACTCCACTCATCCCAGAGTCGCATGGCACTGTCGTCGAGTCGCTCGTCGAGCACGTTGACATCTATCCAACATTGGTAGACCTGGCCGGCTTTGAAGTGCCAAAGGGTTTGGAGGGATTTTCCCTAGTCCCACTGTTGAAGAACAGCACCGCACAATGGAAGACGGCAGCGTTTTCCCAGTACCCGCGTGGTCTACCGAAGGGCACAAAGCGTGATCATCCACACGACCACAGCATGGGTTATTCCGTACGTACTGCAGACTGGCGCTACACAGAATGGGTATACTTCCACAACACCACCATGACACACGACTGGGATCGCAACTTTGGTGTCGAGCTCTACGACCATCGCGGAGACGACGGCACCAGCTTTGCCGCCTGGGAGAACCAAAACCTGGCCAACCTTCAGGAGTTTGGTCCGGTTGTGAAGCAGATGTCGGCCATTCTGCGAGCAGGTCCGCAGGCTCAGCAGGAGCAATTGCACACTGCTCGCCGACAGCAGCCATGAACATTAATTTTCAAAAAACCCTTTTCTTTTTAGACTACATCGTGCTTTTGTAATTTGGTCCATTTCTTTTTCAGTCCTCATGAATTCCTCCAGATTCTATTGCTCTTTACCGACAAGGCATCAGATGTGCTGATATTTTAGTTTACATTTTGAAGGTTTTTACTTTTTAGGGAAGCCAATGGCCTGCATCGTGACTGGCGCCTGCTGTGGTGTTATGGTGGTTTGGTATTATGGGGGAAGGTTTGGTATCGCATGATGACATTTACCTGCCATACGCAGTAGCTAACAAGTTGCAAGCGTTGTGTACTGCATCGTGGAGCTCGGCGTCGCATGCCATTTTTATGCATGGGTTTTGATGATACTCGACTGCGACCCACAGTTAATTGGGAACTCGTGGCCTGGCACGAGGAAAACATGGATGCAGTGAATGGGATTTTCGGTCTTTGACCACATGCTGGTGAGCTGATCTACTCACCTCCCACCGCTTTAGGAGCTGCATCTGCGCCTTGATCCTTGAAGGGTGGTGGCGGTCCTACGAATGCGGAAAACTCGGCCTCCATATACAGAAACCGAGTCTCACGCGAACCGTGATTTTTTTGATGATACCATGTCATGCTGCTGCATGCGGCGCCCCACATGTGCTGCTAGTGAAGATCCCGCAGTAACCAATCCACCTTCTCCATCAGACATCGCTGTTTTCCTGCAAATCACAGTTAACCTGTTAAGGCAACCACTCGGATAAGGCGACCACCTGTCCCAGAACACCACTGCCGCCAGGACCAAGGGATGTTATTTCCAGTCAAATGGCACTGGATAAGGAGACCACCTGGTTACAGAGACCACACTTTGAAAGTCCCTTGAGCGGTGGTCGTCTTAGACAGGTTTTACTGTACTTTCAAGTACAATCATGGGCCAGTTGTAGTTAGCGGCGTGCGTTGGTTGAACTAAGCCGCAGGACGAGGTCCGCTGTCTGCCCATCATTGAACATCCCTGTTCCTTGTTGCTGCGCACCAGCACAATTCAGTGCAACCAGTGTTTTTTTTAACCAATGGTTATGTACACAGTACAGTTGGAAAAGTTACAATCCGGGAGCAGTATAGTACTGAAAACACATGTATTTACTACTCCCTGTTTACGATTTTCCAGTTCCATTTCCCGCTTGATCGGCCAAATATGGACTTTTGGTTCCTGCAATGCACGGAGTGGTAAAATACCGGGATTTTATCACTCCCTGGTGCCAGGCACGTGCATGCAAGGCTCCGAAAAGTCTCGATTTGTCTGCTGGGAGTTGTATACATATACAACTCCCTGCGCGCACAACTCCTGAGTACCCAAATGGGCCAAATGCGATCAGGACACTCTCGCCTCGTGTCATTTTACTGCAACTCAATCTTTCTGCCCGTTGAGTCGAAGTTAGTTGGCCATTGGAGACTGAGCAGAGGGAAGTGGATGCGTTTCCCATCCGAATACTTACGGATTGCCTTCTCCTAAGAACAGCTCCATCTTTCGAAAGGTGAGGTTTTCACTTTCTAACGAGGATACAATCATTGTAAAGGATTTTTTCTCTTGTGAGTCGAACAATAGGACATTTTCTGACCGAAAAACAAGGTCAGCGCAGGTTGTTGTGCGAGATAATTGGCCTCCTGCACTAAGCGTGATTTCCCAGGCTATCGATGTCGTTTAGACTCCTCGAAGCTAGCATGGCTCGTGTGGAAGCATAGTTTGAATGGACACGAAAAGCTGGAGAGGTGGATTGACACAACCGCCTGCCTTTGTGTGTTTAAATTACTAAAAAATAGTCATGCTAAACTTGGGGGCTTGGATAGAAGTCTGGTTTTAGAGAACGCTTGGCATCTGAGGTCTGAACTCCGTCGAATGTGGCCACAAAAACTGCGTTTAGATGTGTCTGTGACAGTGTAGTGTTTGCAATGATAATTTTCGGAATTTTGAATCTGAACGTTCATAATTATGACGTAAGACATCGTTACCTTGGACCAATGGTGGACTGTTAGTCATAACTCGTAACTTATAGGTCTTTTTCTCTTTACATAAGACATTGTCTTATTATTATGAGTATGAGTTCATACCCAAGAGTATGCAACTGTGATCTCTCTTCTATGTGCCAGACACGCGGCACGCTGCCTTCATTACATCATGAAGCAACACCCCACACTGCGACAAATCAAAACACCACGCTTACTCGGTGGTTTGAAACCAGCTTTCGTTGGGACCTGAAGTTCGTGCACCCAGCAATTAGAGATTGTGTCGGTACTGGAACGTATCAAGCGAAATGGATGCTTCCTGGTGCACAAATTGTGGGTTTGAGTTCTTTGCTTGAGTGCATGGGCGCAGGATGTGATATACAAATAAATAAATAAAATTGGACGTGTTCGCGTGCGGGGCAGGTCAAGAACAAGGAGTCGTACAACTCCCTGGTCAAGAACCACCTTTCCGCTTCCGTGGTACGCCACCAACCCATGATCAGGCGTCAGATGTGGCTCCTAAATGGTGGGGGAGGATGGATCAGATCCACCAACCATAGGCCAAAGGCCTAAATCCCATTTGCCACATCCATGTTTTACTCATAGGATGTCATATACTAGTAGGCAAGTTACGTAATAACATGTAAATATCTGAAGGTGGCGTGTCTTGCATTGACCTATGACCACAGGTGTGTGCTCTTGGTTATAGACTCCTGAGATTACGCGCACACGCACACACACACACACACACATACACACACACGCACACACGCACACACACACCACATGTGCACACACACACACCACACACACACACACACACACACGCACGTGCACACACACACACATACACACACCACACACCACATGTGCACACACACACACACACACACACACATACACACACCACACACGCACACACACACCACATGTGCACACACAGACACACACACACCACACACACACAGACACACCACATGTGCACACACACACACACACACACACCACACGTGCACACACACACACATACACTGCACTTGCTCACTGCCAAAATTGGTCACGTGGGTCTCCCCGGGAGAGGGGAGAGAGAGGAACTCAAAAGGAATCTTGGAAAGAGGACTCAATTGACTATTGAACCGCCCAACGGCCGACACCCCTGAAATCCCCAAACTATGGGTGGACTTGCAAATGATCCCACTTACGGGCTCACCACACCTCAGTAAGTGGGTGAGGAAAAGGTGCAGAAAAAGGGGTTGACGGCATCAGGGTATCCGTCCTGGGATCCAACTGCAGTTACCCCTGCCCTCAGTGAGTGTAATACTTGGTACTAGTGTGGGTGGCTAAATCAGAATACACACACACACACATACACACGCGCACACACACACACACACACACACACACACACACACACACACACACACACACACACACACACACACACACACACACACACACACACACACACACACACACACACACACAGCTTGGCTTTGGACTTAGCATGTTTCCTATTGGTTGGGAATTTGGGATGCAACTTCAGTACATTGGACAGCTGTATAGCCATGGGACGTGAGATCAGAACTTCATAGCCATGGTTATATCCGAAGTCAAACAACGGGTACCGTATTTTTCCGGTTGTAAGTCGACCTTTTACGACTGAAAATAGAAGGAGAAAGGATGGGGGTCGACTTACAACCGGGATTCGACTTATAACCGGGAACTATCAGTATCTTACAAAAAATGACCTGCACTGCATGCACGAGTGCACCATGTTTGTACATTTTTGCCAGTTTATTGGCCTTTTTCAAGGATTGGGGCGTTATCCTCCAATAAAGGAATGTTTACATGATTTGTTGATGTGTTAGTAGCAGGAGGTGGTTAACAAAGCAGTAGTGCTTCTTTGGGTGAAAACTTTGAAACGCAGAATTGAGACCTCCAGATAGGGGGGTCGACTTATAACCGGGGTCGACTTACAACCGGTAAAATACGGTAGTAACCTGGAATTTGATCAACACTGCGCAGTAGTTCTCTGGACAGGACGGTACATAGCCATGTATACGCACAGTGCAGTGAATGTTTTTAGCGGATGACATGTTGATGCCCTGTGCATTTATTTCTGCGCTCAGCTTTGACCTTTTTTCTGTTGACTTCACCTTGTTGCTCAGGTGTTCACGTGGTTTTCGCCACCTGAACTATCCAGTCAGGAGCTAGATCAGGACATTGCAAAGCCTGGTCAAAGCACCCCGTTCACTCGGACAGCACATTCTCCTGTTCCTCTGCCGTCGCAGATCTCGTTGCTCACGTCACACTACCACCGCTGACTAAGAATGGCCGACCTGAAGTGGCTCTACACGATCATCTGGTTCATCGTCCTGCTCATTGCCTGGCCCATCTCCATGATGTGCGGCTTTGTGTACACACTGGTGTTGCCCTGCACCGCGTGCTGTGCGGGCACCAGCGACATCGCCAACTTCTTCCACAAGGGCACGCGGCTGGGCTACGATGTCACCGCCAAGATGGTCCAAGGTAGGCCGCTGTGCGAGTCTGGCCCCAGCAAGGCCGTCAAGACGGTAACCACGACAATCCGATAGGGTTTTAAACGTCGAAGATGTAGCATGCAGCAGGTACCTTCTCTCAACTTGAAACTCATGTCAACCTCTCTCTATGAAAAATAGAAGAGAAAGAACAAGGCAACGAGTTATGCAGAAACTATCAATGATCTAGATGCTGTATAACTCGTTCCCATGTGTGTTTTTCTTCTGTATTACATTTGTTCCTGGCTCAGTATTCAAGACATCGTGTCCATGCTCAGTCCATGCTCAGTTTTAAATTTTAAATTACTGGTCTCTGTATATGTAGTACAGTGTGACTTTTTCTTCTTTTTTTTAATTGGACTTGGAAATATCCTTTGAAGAAACCTACCGCGTAGAGCGTCGGTTTAATAGCTATTACACCTGTTGGCTGTGTCACCGGAATCCAACTCTGGCTGTTTATAGAGAATTTTGAAATCTGTTTTCCATTTTGCCAGGTCCCTTTCACATAGAATAATATTTATAGTATACCAAACGCAGATTGGGTAGTATACCATGCGGGATTTTTTTGATCTTTGGCACACAACCACTGTAGTGTCCTGTGACTCCCGTCACCCGTCACTACGTCTTTTTAATGTTAATGTACACCACTCCTGGTTCTCAGCTGAGCATATTATACAATGTGTTGCTTGACCTAATCATCATCATCAACATCCGGTCCATCGTGAAAGGGGTGGTGGCACAGACACGTGTGTGTGTGTGGGTGTGTGTGTGTATGTGTGGGTGTATGTGTGACTGTGTGTGTGCCAGGGAGTCGTACAATACCATGTGAGTTTTCTGAAGTGTATGTTGTGCTATGCCTTGTCGCTCAGGCAAAGTATGGTTGACATCAAGAGAGCAAGACGTGTACTGCACAGATCTTCACTCACACACTCACATTGTCACACAATAGCGAAATCTCAAAAAAATGCAAAATTTTATACTGGTATGATCAAAAAATAAAATAATCACGAGTCGACATGAAAGTAGATGCATTTTCTGAGCTGCAAGTGCTCGTACCTCAAGAGTTCCAGCAGTATTGATTTGGGCCATACAGTAGCAATGCTTGTCTCCTAGGTAACCGCTTACACCAACGTGCCGATCACCTCTCAACTCGACGATGAAGACGAATCCGAGTCTGACATCTCGCAATCGTCGTCAGAGTCATCGGCAGACGCGCTCCCGCTGTCCGAAGAGGAAGACGAAGAGCGAAGTCGGCGCAATCGCCGCTTCCGCCGCCTCATGCAATCATCATCAACATCTGATGAATCTGATGAGTCTTCTCCATTGTTGCTTTCCTGGTTATCGTCGTTCGATAGGAAGACACGTCGGAACGTGTCTTCAGCCAGTCTGGACAAGGTGCCAGCAGCGTCAGTATTGGCTGAAGCCTGTGTGCTAGCTGCGACGCCTGGCCCCGGATCTGTCACCGGGTCAGTGCGGGCCATGGTGGTAGTGGGCTCCGGCAATTCCGGACTGTCCGTCGGCGATGTTTGACTGCCGACGACTGTACTCACCACGGGGCAGTTTGTTGCGTATGGCGGGCCAGTCAGGAGACCCTCGCTGGTCTGAAAGTCGCCGGTGATCGGCGCGTATAGGCAGTTGAACACGAACACGTCCGTGCCACCGGGAGGCACAAACGGAGCCGCACCGACGCCGAACTCCACCGACGGACACTGCGTCAGCGCGCAGCCCACTGACGTCACGCTGGCCGTTACCATGTCAACGTACTGCCGGCACTGCAGCGTGGTGCTGGGGCTGATAACACCGTCGGTGGACACACACAGGTTCAGTGTGTGGTTGTACGACGACGCTCCCAGCTGGAAGTTGGTGCTGATCGATTCGCTCAGTCCAAGAGCGCCGCCGACTGACGTGACAAGCACTGATATTGACTGACCTGGTGAAGGCATGTCATAACGTCAGAGGTTCACAGCAAAACAAATTAATAGAATCATTTGGTATTTCTGCATCACCACCGGCAGTAATTGTAAATACATGTAGCCATTTAGCTATTTCCCCCTGGCCTGGACAAAGGCTCAATTTCTTGTTCACTCTAATCCGTCATTCAGGCTTTCTCCTTGCGTACTCCATGATCAGTGGCGGATCCAGGGGGGGTTCCGGGGGTTCCATGGAACCCCCTAAATTTTGCAAAGTGTGCAGAAATATCGAAATATATCATGACACGATGTCATCTGTGCGTGTACACAAAAGGACGTCCGGACGTCCATCCGATCACAGTCAGTGCAGTCACTGAGTCAAGGAGTACAGACTCAGTGCACCGCATGCGCGTTCGGTGGATCGATACTGCACCGATAGTAGTAGTCTGGTCACATCCGTGCAAACGGACACTGTAGACAACAATACATTGGGTGGTTGTTTCCTTTTTGATCTTTCGAAACGATCCAAACTTACCTCCATTGGCGCTGTCATTCACTGCTGCTCAGGATGTGGTCAGTATTCCTTGGACAAGTTTTTTGCAGAAGAGAAAGGATGTTCCTATTGATAACACTCGTCAAAGAACTTCGAATCGTACACGTAGAGTTCAAGCTCCTCAGAAGATGAGGGCTCCGACATCCAAGCAAAGTCAGTAATCTCTACCTGCTGCAGCATGCAGTAGTGACTAGTTGTTCCTCCGCAGGAACGGAGTGCTGCGCCAGCGATGTGTTTTAGATGACATTGGAAAGATTGTCAATTGTCGACACTGTTTTGCTGTTGTTGTTTCTGTCATTGAAGTAAAGACGATGCTCTTGTCCTATGACTATAGAGCATTTCGCATCGTAAAAATGCCAAAATTTTCCGAAAGTACAAATGGACAGGGAAAGTAACTTAGTTGTCATTTCGGCATTCCTGGCTCTCAACGTACCCATGGCTTGCACATTCGATCTTTACAAGAAGTTGAAAGGGTCTTCAAGCCTCACTGAACCTGTGTGCCAGTCGATTGCGTACATGTATTATGATTATGTGTCCGTACTAAATATATACAATGAAGGGTAAGCAGCAGCATTTGGCCCTGTACAAGTTTTCCATCGTCCACCACACCACAACTGCGCTCCCCAGCGCTGGTGGTGTGACTGGTGTGCTGTGGCAACGTGTCGAGGCCGGCTGGAGAGCGCAGTTGTGGTGGGGTCGATGATGGAAAAATATATGTCCGTAGTGTGTTTTAAAAGCATGCGATTCCAACTAACACAATCGGATTGTCGTAATTACAAGTGTCAACCGCGCAACTTCAAAACAATCTGATTCCATAATATTTTGGCTGTTCAATTAATTATTTTGGTTCAACCGGAACCCCCCTGTAGAGATCTCTGGATCCGCCCCTGATGATGATGTGTCTAGCTCCCTTATTCTACTTCACCCCCCCCCCCCCCTCGCCATGCAGCCGTGGATAAACGGAACATGCATTTTGCGCTGCAGCGCGCTGGTCACATCGGTTCAATATGAGGTTGTGCACTGCACGCAGCGTTCTGTACGCGCTGAGGGCGCCGGTCAATCGACTGGATTTCCATGTCCACTACAGTACTAGCCCTCGCTTCTATGGGTATCCCTTAGCAGGGTTCTAGCCAGTGACGGGGGGGGGGGGGGTGTAGGGGTGCAGCGCCCTTCCCCCCCCCCCCCCTACTCCGATTAAGCCGCAAGTCCCTCCTGTAGAACAGTGCCCCCCCCCCCCCCTCCCCCACTATTTCTCGATTTTTGTGTTTTTCATGCTATTCAACGAAACCGCAATCGATAGTCAAAAACAAAGGGTACATAAAGGCACTTAATTGCATTTTCCATGGCAAGAACATTTTGGGAAAATGGAAAAGAATGGGTTACGGGGCAGCTGTTTCCCCTGCCCCCCCCCCCTCCCCTCCGCCCCGCCTACTATTTTGACCTGGCTAGACCCTGCCTTACTGATACAAGTGTAGTCTGATACAGTACTGACCTATTGCTGCTGATGTGGCGGGTATTCCGAAATCCACCGCTGCTTGTTGTACGTCACGCCTTCTCGCACTCTGTTCCTGTAGCACCTGACGACACTGTAGAGCGTGGACAGCGGCCGCCTCTGCCAGAATAGCGTCCCAGGCAACGGTTGGCAAGGGTGAACATGGCAACGGCATGACCTGCTCTCGACCTGCGTTGTGTGCGTCCACGATCTCCTGCTCCTGGCTGGGCACGAGCGGCACCACGTCCTGGGCTAGGCAGTGAAACACCGCGTGACTCGCCACGACGAGCAATGCTGCAAGCGCCGACCACCATCTGAGTGGAGGGTGGGGTCGCATGACGCTCCTGTCATATCTGCCTTCTCTGTCATCGTGATTCGAAATCGACATACTCAAACTATGCGGATATATGAAAAGAAAGCCGTCTTTAGCTGAAGATAGAATAGTATAGAAAACAAGCAGACAGCGAGGGCATAAGAGAAAAGAGGGTGAACGAATGCAGAAGTACTTCGAATTTTATAGGATTGGGAGAACTTCAAAATTCAAAGGATCAGTTGGGGAAGTGAACTGCCTGAAAAGGGAAAAAATGCCATGCCCTTTCGAATTGTGCTTAGTTTTAATTAAAACAGTCCTTACAGGCGTTACGATGTACTGTATTTGCAGTTGCAGATAGTTTACATTGGTCCGAACTGGATCCGTCGACCTTTCGAGTTGCTTGTTGTGACGTTCGCTGTGGAAGACACTGCTATTCAACAAGGCGCTGAGATCATCTGAGCGCACGTAGATTATCCAATCTACACGTAAGCACTGGTACAGTGGTGCTAGTCTTGTCAGATGACGTCAACAGTCGTCCAACGTTCAGATCGTGCGCGATTCGATAGTACCTATTTTACACTTCAACTCACAACTACGACGTGACCGCATTGCCTCCTTCTGCTACGACTGATGCCAGTAATGGCGAATCTTTACCCAGTCATGTGTTGGCACAGTGATACGCACATGATTGTACGAGTATAAATATCTGCCACCTTCGAGCACTGATTAACTAACTTGTTGCACTGGGCAAAAGTGAAGCGTTTGCATGTGCTGCGGCAGAACAGCGATCTCGCGATTTCGACCCGAGTTCTTCCTCTGTGCAGGAAGCTAAGTGGGGAGATGACCTCAAGGGGTTTCAGACCCATGGAAGACCAGCATTCCAGCGAGCATAATGGTGTTCGTTCATTCAGCCTGTTACAGTATTAGAGTACCCCACAAGCGTGGTCAATGTCTCGGGTCAGTATTCGAAAAACACCAACACAAACAATAACAAAGCGACTAGGCAGCTCGGCATGGCCGCTAAAGGCATTGTGCAACCTCTCTAGTTTGTGACAGTGATTCTCCGACTCTTAAACCAGTCACGTGATCACGGAGGGTCCTATTCCTTTCATTGCCAGTCCACCTAACGGCAACGCAGCACAGATCCTGTCACAAGACAGAGTCGCATTCAACATGTTCCAGACCCAACCGAACTTTTCCAAGTCACCACGAACTTGAATGCGATATGGGTGGGGGTCGCATCGGCGAAAATCAACTTTCAAGCATTCTTACCCGAGTTTGTGTTCCCAAGGCGTCTTGGATGTGAAGTTGTGAACCGTTTTGCCATTAACCAACATCAGGCACTGACAGTTGATGATGGCTTTGCCCGTCTGGCTCACTCCCTCCTGCCAAGTCCTTGCGGGAAGGGAGGGGGGGGGGGGAGCTTCCTTCAACTCTTTAGTAGAACTGCACTGTTCCTTACTTGACGGCTTCATCTAGATCCACCATCTGACCAGCAGCATCTTGTTGAAGAGCTTCCAATAGATTAGCTGTAGATTTGTTCCTATTAAACTAAATATTCAGCTGTCCCTAACGTTAATACACAGTCCAGACGCAACACATTTCTTCTAACAAGAACCGTCTTAAATTCAGTATCGAGGGTATTATATGACTGGCTAGATCGGAAGTGAGAATAGCGTGCAGTTTGCTTGTGTGTGGTTGTTCACGCTCTCGCACCCGGCTATCGCCATGAACTCCCATGTATTACTGCAGAGAAAAAAACTGCGTTCCAACTTCCAACATCGTGGCGTTGGCCCCGGTCTATTCAAGTGATAAGTGATGGTCACGATGTGAGAAGCGTGACGCTGTGAAAGCCTACAGACGGGAGATACGCACGAAAACCAGGAATGTGAATGCTTACCAGTCACTGCGTGCTGTAAACCGACAGTATCATCCGATGCACCTCGGGCCGATCGATGTGCGTGTATGACCTCAATTGGTTTTGGAACGCGGAGAGTTGCAGCCGCTCGAATGGTTTCACGGGGAAAACTTGCACAGCACCAAGGACCGTTCGAGTTAGTTATGCATTCCTCCTGCTGAGCGTAACCTATTCGCGTCTACCACCGCACACACTCTGACCGAATTCCGATCGACATTTATCCTACAGAAATCAACTGCGTACCTTAAAAAGTCAACTGTTCTATAAAAGAATTCATCAGAAGCTCTCGCTCCCTGCTCTTCAACCCGCCACTTTATCTCTCTAACAGTCGGTCAGACTCTAATAGAGTAGGAACAACATCGTAAGAGCTAGGTCTGCATCGTGGCGTAAACTAGTAACAATCTTCTCCGCATGGAGTTGCAAGTCTGGCAGCGCAAATTGTGCAAAACGCAGAAATACTTCCATGTACCTTTATATCATACAAGTCCAAGCACAGGAGGCGTTCAAAGTCCAGGCAACCTTCTGCAATAGATCAGCCCCGCTCTGTACAAAGCGAGACTTCCGACTGATCCAAAAGAACCGTATTGACTAGAGCAACTTGTTCGGCGCCGGAACTTCTGCGCTGTGTACGGCGGTCGGTATTGGCGAACGACTCGGCTCAGCCATGCACAACTACATGAAGCTTTGTGCCACACACTAGCATTACTCTAATGTCATTGCTACAAGTAGTACAGTAGTAGAGCAAGTCTTGCAGTATTAGCCCGACTGAAGGTGTTAACAAGAAGCAGTCTTGTGACCACCTTGCTACTGGGCCACTGCCCTAGCTAGCCCGGATGATGACGCGAGTAGCGCCGCGCAGGGTATGTGCTGACACGATGCATGGTACACGACGCTACTATCACCAGGGGAATGCCATGGAATCGGCAGAGCCGACGGTGGCACTCTACGGATGTCGGCTATTACCACAACAGTGAGTTGAGATCAGACGTGAGTGCTTCGTTTGCCAGTCACTGGGAGAGGCAATGGCGAACACCAATCGTGCTGTGTGCGTGATGGAAAACTATAGTATAGGCGAACACAGCGCTCGAGATCATGCTATCGTGAAGGTGGTTGTGCGAAGTATAATGGCATCGTTTGGGCTTGGCTCTGACCAGGAGAGAGCACTGCAACACGCGGCTACATGATCAGTGCAGTTGTGTCACAGTGTGTCAGCCCAAGATCTGTGGTGTCCCCTCATTCCTGGTGATAGCACTGCAAGGCCGATTGACAACTACAGAAGAGATTGGATTAAATCCAATACCAGCCAGTTGAAATGCGGATAACGCATGCAACATGATCTACTGCTTTTAGCAGCTACATTTGTACTAAATGAAGGAGACTCCGACATGAAATGAGGAGTCAAGATACGAGAGAGGCAGGCAGGAGATATGCAGGGGTGTGCGATAGGAAAAGACACGATCCAAGAAAGCGCCTTCAGGGGCGACCTTATCGTCGAGAGGAAACTTTGAACAACAATGCGCAATGATCCGCTGCGACAAATTAATCATTCAGTATGCTTTTAAAACACAAACACTCATTAGCGTGTGATCTATAGAATATAATGTAACCTGGATTAGGCTGGAAGACATCGGCTTGCAGTACCCTCTGCATGAATACCAACCCATCAGTCGACATGGTTGAGAAATACATGTTGACATTCGTCTCACACATCAACGTGGGCCTCTTCTGACTCTTGTGAACGCAATAGGACCGCTCCATGGCCCGCTTAGCCACGGGGTCGAGCCTCGCCAGGTGAACATATTACTCGTTCTACTCTCTCACAGAGGTGAAGTCAGGTCGTAAGATTGTTGACTACCTTTCTGAATGTCATGTTCGTTGCGATTGGTGCATTGAGCAAGGAAGAAAGCGGAAGTCGATCGTGGAGTATTTGCTGCCCCGCCAACCATCAGGATCACTGAACAGCTTGGAGGATCGAAAATTGAAGGAGAGACATAGCGGCTCATGGGCGTATGTGTATGTGTGTGTGTGTGTGTGTGCGAGTGCGTGTTTGTGTGTGTGTGTGCGAGTGCGTGTTGTGCGTGTTTGTTTGTGTGTGTGTGTGTGTGTGTGTGTGTGCGTGTGTGTGTGTGTGTGTGTGTGTGTGTGTGTGTGTGTGTGTACATGGTGCGCACGTGTGACTCTACGCGGGTTAGGAATTACTAGAAGGTGCAGGCGAAACCTTTACACTGTTTTGCACATCTACAGTCGTGAGAAATCTACTCATCCCTGAATTTGGACACACTGACGGGCCACCATGCACAAGCTTTTGATTCCTGCGCTGAACACACAGATGGAATTACGTCACGTAGTCCGTCTGTTAGACCCATCTACACGGAAGCTACGTATTGTGGCAGTGAACCACACGCCACCTCAGGTCAGGATTGTTACTGCAAGACAGCGTCACTGTATGCAGATTGCAAACCCTCGACAATATTTCTATCGGAGTAGCCATATGCTCCGCTTGTAGTAGCTTGTACGTGTAATTGCCAGTTTGCTTCGGATTCGAAACTATTTTCATTTCGAATACTGGAGCTGGGGATGCCTGTGGTGTCTATCTCTTGTTACCGCTATTTGCTGACAGCGAGGCAGAAGCCGAACTAACTTACTTGTTCTTTCAATATGCGCTCATTGCATGTACAAGTTAGCTGGGGCCAGGGTTTGTGCGGCTGCGGCGAGCATGTCATGTAACTACACTTTCGCGGGACGACCTAACTTGGTTTCAGTATCAGTATCAGAAAGAGCAATCTCTACACCATTTAGCAGTCTTTTTTACCTTCTTCCTCTGTAAGACTGTAGCATGTACAGGTACATGTATGTGTTCGTGCTGTGTGAGCGTCTGCAGAAATGTACGGACTGGCATATGTACATAAAAAGGAACAGTATTATCCATGCATCAAGAGAAGCCTCCACACTGACTGTTGTTATCAGTTAAAGTACAATTACATGTACACGTAGCCTTGGTAATATCAACTGAACATGACGCTTGGGGTTACGAGTATGATTGTGCAGTATGTACTCTTGGTACAGTACCATCACTTGCCCTCTTTCCCTCGGCGTTGCAGTAATACATAAACCAGCAAGATATCATGCCACTGTTGACGTGGTAGAATGAGTGTGTCGTGCTGCCAAACCCACATCAGTTTAATCCTTTGCAAGCCACGGGAAAATGGCAACGTAGAATCATCCGTCGACCGAACCATCACAGTAACAGTTCGGGTTCGTTCGTGCTCAAAGAAGCACAATGCTGGAACCACCGACGGAGAGAGGGGAAACCAAACATAAACAGGACGATAGTACAACATCGGGTGTGAAGGCTCTACATGAGAGGTGTTAGCGAGCATAGGTGCAGTGTGCTCCCCGACATATCGCACCTTGGACAGTGAGTAGCACAATACCTACTCCCTGATACATTATCGTACGTTGGTCATACCAGCATACATAGCGTGGGCCTTGTAACGACTCACCTACCATGCCTACTGTGTTAGGCTGCAGTTTGGGTTGTATAGCACTTACAGTGAAACCTCGTTAATACGAACACTGATAACTGATAAGACAAACTTTCGCTTTAGAAGAACTAGTGTTCATAGTTCTATTGGATAAATCACTGTGTATTCACTGGGTATAAAATATGGATAAGAAGAACTCCCGTTATTACGAACAAATACCATCGGTCCCGTGGTGTTCGTCCTAACGAGGTTTGACTGTACTTACTTATTCACTGATACATGACTGTACTATACTTCTGTTATCTAACCGTATGGCTCTAACCAGAGAATTCTGTTCAGTTTTCAAAAGGCCTCTAAAGAACTGTGTGTACGAATTTAACGTTCGCCGCCCAAGGGTAGTAGAAAACGGGCACTTGGTCATGACCGATAGGTAGCCAGAGGACCGCTGCTCTCCTGCATGCAGACCCCTCGAAGACAGGAAGTCTTCGGGCCGGGCGATCTCTGACCGTGTCGGGGGTGAATGGCCCTGTGTCGATGAAGACATTGGTTGAAGGTACATTGTACAGTGTGTACAGTGTGTACATGGCCGTGCGCGTGGTACGGCGTGATGTGATTCTCGCTGATACGTATGCATTGTAACATTGTACTTCTTCGAAGTACATTCATTTTAGTGGTACAATCAGTCATGCACTGATAACAGGTAGTGGTACAATGTAGTGGCATGCACTGGTAACATGTTACGAGTTTCTCCTTGTACGTTGTATGGCAGTCTGAGTGTTGTGACTGGCTGTAGCTAGTGGAGTGTCGTACACTGTACTGGGCTTCTGTTCCAGGACTTTGAACGGCATGATGTACATGTACAACTAACTGTACATGACTTGTTTGTTTGTATACAGAGCGTTGTGGCACAGTCATTGGATTGCCACAGACTAGTAGTACAGTGTTGTGTACATGTAATCAGGCATGCAGTGTGTTCCTGGCTACTTCCCATCAACATCCACTGAATGCCTGCTAATACTGTGACGCACCTCGGGTTGAGCGTCCCTCCGTGACCTACCTGTAGCACTATCGAGTATCCCACCGTTGATCTGTAAACAAACGGCGAGGAGACAATAACTTTGATAACCGCAATCAATAAGACAATTGTCTCCACCGTTTTACATTGCATGAATAACGTATACACAAATGTCGATTCTGATTGCGGTTACCACCGTTGATCGTTCACATCTTTCCTATCACCATTGTAGTTTCTAGCACACCTTCCCATTACATAGGTACATGTACATGTACCTACAATGCACATGTAGGTATTCTAATCATATTCACTGGTTGAGGGAAAGACACAAACGAGAAAAGCCTCAAGAAAAATGACTGCCACCACCAGGACTCAAACCAAGAACATTCGATTGAGGCCAGCGATGCTCTAACCACTGAGCTATGGTGCAGCTGTCATCCAATCAGAGACCGTTTAACATTTACTTCAGACTTTGAAACTCACGCTTTGCTACTCTAATCAGCATCCACTACTTCGTCTAAAGATTTGCCCTATTGCCATGAAATTCAGAACAAAAACAGAGCACATGTTCGATGGCCACTGTGAGCGTGTGTCGCATGCTCGTCATTGTGGGTTAACGTGTCAAGGTCTCAACGCGACTGATCACACAGCATGGGGATGTGTTCCCAAAACAAGCAAAACAAAAATTGACCAAACAAACTGAATACAAGCATGAACACGATTAGCAACAAACGTGCATCCTGAGGTTCTCGGAGCATTCTCTGTCAGTGCGTGTTGGTGTGTTTGTGCATCCTGTACTTGGGCACTGACACAGCAAACATCTGTCAAGGCGACCATCCCGGATAAGGCGACCATCCGTCCTAGAAGACCACTGAAACCAGGACCGAGGGATGCTATTTCCAGTTAACTTAAATGACCCTTGATACGGAGACTACCTGGTAACAGACACCACCTTATGAAGGTCCCTTGAGCGGTTGTCTTAGACAGGGTTCACTGTATCTGCATGTACATGTAGATCTACATTTTACATGTACATGTACATGTACATGTACATGTACATGTACATGTAAAATGTAAAAAGTACAAAATTAATCAGGTCCTCTGTGGCTTTTTTCTTTCTTCTTCTTTTTACCAAGAAAACACACACACACACCACTTGACGGCACGAAGCAGCAAGGCAG